AATATCGCTTGTAATTCAATTGCAAACTACAAGCAGTAAATTGTTCAAAGCTTATCTGAAACTTGATTATCAGTTGAACAAAAGATTGCCATATGTAGATTTTGTTTCAACTAAGGCCGGAATTTCTTGATTTGAAGGTGAAGTTTACATCGGTTGACAGAAATAGTAAGAGTTATGGGCCTGAGGTGACCATTATATTACATAATTGCTACCTTAATGGCCATTTGCAGGCCATTAAATTGCGCAATTGACGAAAGCACGGATGGAGGATATTGGGTAAGATATACGACGTCATGATACAAACAGAAAGAAAGGAGAAGTACAAGAATGCTTACATATGGTGTCAACAAAACTAAAAATAGGGTCAAAAGTGGCACTCTGTAATTATTACAAAGTTTTTACAACCTCATCATTATAGAGGCAATGATTATATGTATCTCATCAATGCGCCCTCTCATTACCAATAGGCTGTATAAATGTTCAGTTGTTTCAGCTCAATATCACGTATGACAAAACTAGCAGCTTTGATTGCAGTAAATGTATGTATATGTAATAGCATTTACTGTGACCTTAATCACGTTGATCAATTGCTGGATAATTTTATGTATTATTAGTATTTAATCATATATTTTAATTATGAGTAAGCAACATGATGAAATATGTTCTGTGTTTAAAATAAATGAAATAGTCTATATAGTCTTTGTTTTGTGTTACTGATTCCATATTTGGTCACATTCAACGATTTCACAAAATATAAAACTTTTGAATTGATCTGTTAAAGTGTGCAAACAATACCATTCAGTTACCAAAACTATTTTCAAAACCTAAAACCCAGAAACCGTTGATTTCATTGTCATTCCTTAGCCATTCTAAATTTAAGGGCATACCCATGAGCATTTAGTATTCGCTGTTAGCTTGAACGTATCGTTACTTTTGCTCCAAAACATGCATATAATTGTTTGGCTGTGCCATGAAATGCTATTTTATCAAATTGATAGTAAGAATTTTATTTATCAACCTACTGGTCATGAGGTCAATTTCGATCTCAGAAAAATGGTTAAACCTGGAATACTCTACGTTTTATACATGTGTTAAATATTTAAGAACAGAAATATGAATATTTATGAGTAATATCAATGTTTTAAGACCAATATCAAGGTGCCATGCAGTTGTGAAATTTCAAAGGGACATTACTATTCGTTTTACTACGAACCACAAATAAAATCATAGCATTTATACAAGTTGCAAGTGGCATGGTACGGTTCCACTGGACACAAATAGTTACTTTAGGAAACTAAAAACATGGCTTTTCTCTATTATACGTAAGTGAAAATTGTATCCTATCCTTTTAAGAAGGTCACCTGGCCATAGTTGTATGTTAAATTTGAATAATACTGTAAATTGAATCTGAGTTTTTAATAAATTATTACGAACCTCGTGAATATACTGTGTCTGAGTTTCCAAATTATAGGACCATTACATTCAATTAAATATTTCCAAATATATCAAGTGCATACTGAAAATCTGTAAGATATTATAAAGGACAGTGTATAGTATGTCTGAAAGATAGTACTGTTTTAGTGGTGGATTTGAAAGATTAAGTGTTTTATTTGTTTGACCACCTATAAACTAATCAACGTGTGTGATCACAAGTCATGTGTTAAAGATGATGGACATGAAATTCTTCTTATTCATTAATAATTCATCTATTTATATTATTAGTTGAGATCACCCTACTCCCGTCTCATGTAAAATTCAATTAGGATATTGAAGAAGAACTGACCAATTAACCCGCCTGATTGAATATGAATACAAACGACTACTAATGTTTAGATGGCATCATGTTTAATTCTTACTAGAAACAATAGTAATCTTCCTTTTAAACAATAGCTACGACTTGAGACCAAAATCATACATTTTCATTACAAGTAGCTAGATTAATCGAAATGACCATTCAATGTTAGTAAATTGAATCATATTGAATGTTATAATCAAGTTTGTAGCTAATTTGGTTTGGTCAAACGACGATGCAAGTGGACAATGAATCAACTTGCACATGTCCGTCAATTGAAGATTGTCTCAAACGCCTTATATTGCAACAAGAATTATCAAGTGAAAAATTGTCTTAGAAAATGGATTAAAAGAAATAAATGACGAAAGAAGAGTTGTAATTTGATAATCAGTGAAGTGTGGTGGCTACTAGTTAACGAGATTACAATATGTCAAAATAAAATAAATGTTATAAGCGATGAGGCGAAATATTGCTCCCTTGTTGATGAAAAGTGTTGAAGGTTGTTTTTCATATTATTTTAACTCTAAATGTCCAAATTCAATATGCTAAAGTTGCATGCTGTCTTATTTCCCATATTTCTTTAAAAAGAAAAATGGGCAGTCATCACCAAAGAGAAATGTTCAATTTAGAGCCAAAACAAATAGCTATTATCATTATATTTGAACCACATACAACCACAATAACATTACTACTGCCAAAATGGTCTGTTTTCTCATTTATAACTTTCTAATTCGGGTCCAATTGTTAAAAACTTAAACGGGGACTTATTTTCTTGTTTTCGCACATATAAGCATTGGTTATTTCTCAATATTTGTATTCACAAGTTTTGGTTAAATTCTCATGATCTTGCAGGTAATATGAATAAATTCTGATCTTCAATCAAATAGTTCTAGTTACCATATTTAGAGGACTATTCTGATTTCATTGTTTTTGGATAGCAGTAGCTGGTAAACGATCATAATCTACAATGATTTAACATGATTTGTTCTGGAGAGTTTATTCAGACTAATCCTGTGTAGATGGATTGCTGTATTATAAATGTTATATATCACCAAGACACATTCCAAGACATACTACTACGTACTAGCAACAACTGCCTACTATGTGGACAATCCCTACTTTCAAGATAAGATTTTACACGAACTATGTCAATTAATATCTTGTACTACATAACAATCAATATGTGTTCTTTTACTTTCATGTACTTATACTGAAGCAATAGAAAAATGACCAATATTAAATATCAATTAGATATAAGCACACTCTGTAACTTCCACCCATTGCAGGCCCATAATTAATATGATCACAGATGTAGAATATTCTTTTAATGAATAATATTGTAACATAATGCAAATAAGCGATTGATTGTTCAATCCCATATCTCAACCCCCAAAAACTATGTTGTAAAATCTGTCTGTTTATGATAAATCATGTGCAAAAATACCATTCAATTGTATCATTTTTATTACCATGTGAAATTCAATGGGGACATGTTCTTGCATAGATCAAATATTTCCTTTTAATGATCTATTTATTCTTTTGAATTTATTCATACAGACAGAATACAATTTAAAATACATGTATGAATCGCCCGACTACGAGAAGGGGTTAATAATAGGGGTTGATATGAATTCAAATATTTTTGCCACCCACTGAACAGACCTTACTTTAAATCTTCTAAAAGAAAGTTATTTCCCTTACATTGATTACATTGGTTTTGTATATACAAACGATCACTTTTGTGGGGTTTAGTAGTGTACTCATTTGGACATATTCAAAACATATAGTAAATATTGTATAAACCTATACCCTAAGAGCGGAAATTGTACTGTCCTATAAGATTGTGGTATTATGGTTTATTATGGTGTAAGAAATGCAGTAACAAGGGAGACAATTGGACTTTGTTGTTTCCTAAAATGGCAAAAAAAAAAAACTCATATTGGAAAAAAACTCACAAATTAACTAGAAATACTCGAGATCAATTACTTTTATTCATACTGAATTTTAAGAGAATCAATTTTGATATATGAGTGAAAGTTACATATTGATGACCAGTATACTAAAAGGTTGAATTTTGTGTTAAAGTAATTCTATATAAATCGAAGGGTATGCTTATCTGAAGTCAATTCATGTCTGCTAACGACATTTCGTCTAGTTGTGTACCACTTTAGTCACGTTCATTCTGCAGTGTAGAATATTGTAGCTGGGTTTGCATTGAATGCTTGTTGAAGATGGTAACTTGATAAGGAAAAATCTGATGTTCCTTTCGAAAAAGACTGGCATTTACTTGGCATCATCTCAAGACAATAAGATCTCGAGACTTTGGTGTCGTCATAAGATTAATATTTGATTAATTTGAAATGATTCATACAGACTGTAGACATCTTGGCACATAGATAAATAATATATACATACTCATTGACTAATGGACATAATACAAAACATAAATATATAGCTAATCACGTATATATGGACAAACATCTTACAAACAATCAAATTCTAAAACACGTAAACTCATTATGATATGACACAGTAATGTCACAATTTAGCACTGTTTAAATGGATTTCACATCAACTAACATTAGGACTACAACCACTGTAGCTACTGTCCTGTACATTAGATATTGTTGTCACTCACATTTTTTAAATGACCGATTGACTGTTCTTTTGTGACCAACAATGTAGAATCTGTGCTAGCACATTTACAATTTCTAGTTCGTGTTGCAAAGTATCGTAATGTATAGTGACAGTTCGACAGGAACACTGTTTTGTTACTGCTAGTGTAGGTTCTCAGCCAAAAACATGCCCGATGAAATGAGGGACACTTTGTCCAGCAACAGACACTAGTCAACGATCTCATGTTTGGTCGAGATACACTATTGAAACGATTCACATTTTCGTTTCTGACCAACAGTGCACAGTCAATCGGAACGGCACGTTTCGAAAAATTTACAATCAAATAAATACATGATATTTATAATACTGCACATAAGTCTTTTACCCTTTGAAGTAAAGTTACCCTATCATATAAAACATAATGTTGCAATACATAAAACTTTGGTTTAGAAACATCTTTGGCTTGACTGAGGATTTTTTTTTTTTAGATTTATGCACGTTTTAAGTTAGGGTCCATCTTCAGTGAAACTTACTCGGGACTACAGTTTGTATTTGACTTAAAACCTTGGTGTGAATGCATGTCCACAGAAGTTTATTTCTCTTTTTCATCCTCTAAATCGTCACTTCCACCGTCAGGAGATTTCGCTTCCTTTTTCCATTTCATTCGTCGATTCTGAAACCAGATTTTGATTTGCCGTTCTGTCAAACAGAGCGCATGTGCAATCTCTATTCTTCGTCTTCTAGTAAGATAACGGTTAAAATGGAACTCTTTTTCTAATTCTAATGTTTGGTATCTGGTGTATGTTTGTCGACCTCGCTTTCTGTTTGGCCCTGAAATATGTATATTATAGTAAATAGACAATTATTATGGAACAAAATATAATTTACAAACATCAACACGAATGTGCTTAAATAGATCTGTTCAGCTAAAGCTACAAAATTTGTAATGCCAAATAATGTCATCTATAGTTCCCATGGGAGTTTAAAACATTTGTAGTTTGTTTAATTTTATGACTAGTAGAGTTGTCTCCCCTTGACTATATGTTTTTTTTTCGGGCGACTGTTTCTTGCTTATCAACCTGCCTCAAATTAATAGTTTGAACTATTTCAAAAAGCATGAATTATACAGAAAAAAGAGCTTTTATAGCTAAAATTAAAAAAAAATTATCTTATGTATTTTTTACAAAATATGTCGATGTATTCAATCTTTTATCAATCTTGCAAGCGTGTTCATTTAAATTTTATTACCATATTGGCTTCTCATCCACGGATACATTGGAACTGGTGCACAATCATCATCCTTGTCATCATCCGCCTGATTGTCACCGCCACCAAAACCATCAGAACCGTGCGGGGAATGTTGTGGAGAGTCGGGATGACTGAGATCTGGTGGGCTGTCTTTCTCGGGATATCTGTGTACAGGTACATGTTGTTTATATGTGGAATATGGTTGCATTGATGGGTAATCCGCACTATTATTGTTATCTATATGAATATTTGTATTTCGATAATAGTCTGTTGTATTTTGGTGTGTGTTTATGGGACGAACATCTAATCGGTCGTACGGTGGAAATCTGGGGTATGTGGGTTGCGAAGAGTATGATCCATAACCATAACCTGTCATTTGGCGAACACTGGCATAATCAGGTCCATTAGCAAGATTGGTCGGACCACCATTACACTGAGTCATTAATGAATTGTCCATATGATTATAAGAGTTTGGCATATAAGCACTCATATTGCCGTCCATCATGGATTTCAGAAAGATCTTTAAAACGCCCGATTTCCTACTACATTCAAATTTCACTGATGAAATTATCAACCATAAATCTTTACTTTAATAAATCATTCAGCAAGAAACCTAAAAATATAAAATATCAACATTTTAAACTGGTGATAATATGTAACGTTTATTGAACGTCATCATATATTTTATGAGGGATATAAAGCTATCATAGGAGGCATTGAAGCGAGATCGACTCTTTGAACAATACAAGCAAGCCATTACAGCACAATACAACGGCTATAACCTTGCCATTAAATCTTATTTACTGCCTCTAAAACCGCCATAGTTTCATTGCATTAAGTTAGTTTTCAGTTTGTATTTAGCTTTCACAGTAGCATGTTGTGGTTAAAACTGAAAAGGAATTTATATAAAATTTGTTTTAACGGAATTTGACTAAATCTTTAATGAATTAAAAATGGAAATGTACCATACTGACTATTAAAGTCGCATTCGATAAGAGGATAGTGGAGAAAGCTTTGTAAGTTTTACAAATTTTTATTTGAATATTTACACCATGATAAGACATGACACGTCTGTTGACATTGGTCTCTTAATATATTCATGGTAAAAAGGGCGAAATTCTTGTTGGATTATTGAATTCTCGGGCTATATACCGCCAGTCTTTCTTCAAAACACCCGCTATCTTTGATTACACTATAAATAATTCGAGGAATGATAATGTAACTTGGATCTAAGGAAATTATCTTCGTTTTGTGAAGCAACGTGTCAAAAGGGAAATGGACAAACAAAATCTCATTTTAATTTTCATTTTCTGTAAGTAAAACTACATTCTTCATATTTTACGTTTTCATCATTTACCCGTGGATTTACAAATACAATATGTTGAGTTAACCCGATGTCAATTCGCTACTAAAATACCGAGTATCATAGTTATAGGGACTAGAAAATAACACGGTGTTCTTTATAATTTTGAAATTTACTCCATTACATATCTGTAAAATGATAAGAAAAGAATAGAAAATTTGAATTGTCAGTTCACTCACGCGAGAACTATTTTACTTGGTAAAGAAAAGGAGGCGATAAAAGTCAGTTTTCAAGTTAACTTTGTAAATACATTATACATACTTTTGTATAGTAATAGGCTATTTAGATACGCCAGCCCTTCAAAACATGACAAAAAGAAGACATTGCAATTTCTAAATATGAAAATAAATGATAGTATAGTATATCCAAAGTTTCTATTAAAACTACCATCTAAAATAAGCCTATAATTATTCTGGCTTGGATGTCAACATACATCTTTTGTCGCTGTTCGTTGAACCGCAGTAACTTTTATTCACCTCATGTTTCTGAAATCAATCTAGCAATTCACGTTGATTGTACGCGACATCCGTCGGCCATATTGCTTACGGAAATCTCGCTTCTTGAAACTTTAATCACAGGTGAAAAAAGATCAATAATATGTTTTCTATCGATTAGTAACAATATTGATCAACACACCTTTTATATTATTACATTTTTTTACCTTCAGTGGAAATTTTGATTATTTGTAACTAATAGGATTTTGTGCTTGAATAATAATTTCTGCATTATTACATTCTTCTAAGAATTGGATTTAAATTAAAACATGCATAAAAATAATTAATCTTACACCATTACAACAAATTTTACATTTTTGTATTCAGAAAGCAGCTGCTTAATTTTGGTATGGAGAATTCTTTACAGGTATTGACATAAATACAAATGACAAACAAATTTAAAACAGCTTAATCATTTATTAAAATATTTTCCTGATTTTTCCTTATATTATTTTCATTTTGCTGAAAATTAATTCAATCAAGTTTTAACGTGAATAGTAAATATGTCAAAATTTGCGGATTTGCAAATAATTATTCTTAACGGCACAATGCTATAAAATTATAATTTTCAATAAATAAATTACTAATTTTCATAACAGTTTAAAACCAAATTCCGCATCACTGGTCCGAAAATATTCAGAACTTAATTTAGCAATAACGATATAATCGCTTAATTTGGGTAATTTTAATTCAAATATTAGGATCAATTATGCAAATAATAATTTACAATTAATTCATCTATTGTGTGGTTATAATAATGAATAAATTATTTGCTTATTAAATAATGTAATTTTCCTCGTTTTATTGACAATATATTAAACTGCTATATGATACTTGTAATCAGTAATTGTAACATTATATGAAAAAATATTTTTATAACAAAATTTATAAAAAAATTGTTAGTTGTGATGAAATGTTTCTTTGATATTTCTGGTGTTTTATTTCATTTCTCTCAGAACCAGAAAATTTCTCTACGGCTTCAGAGAAATTTATAAATATGGTAAACTCATTTTCTGTTTAGAAAAAAAATCTCGAGACGTTCTGCCTATATGATCAAAGGTAACTGTTTTCACGTTGTCTGGCAAATTTACAAACCAACGTATGTAAATCTATTTAAATTCTATGTGTCGTGGGGTAATCGTTTGAATTCAGTGTGTGTATGAAAACTATGAAAACTGTACAAGACTCGGTGTGTTAACATCCATTACACAAATATCGTATAATACCACTACTCATATTCTCGTTTAGAATACATTTATCATTTCCTTATAATATAATCTTTGTTCAACACATTTGCTTTGCCAGCCCTCACTTTATCCCGCTTCGTTTTCTGTGAAAAGATCAAACGTTAGGAGAAAAAAGAATTATGAGTTTATTTGATATGCCTTTTGTAACCATATTTAATCATGAATTTCAAATTTGTCAAATGAGGTGTGTTAGAAACCGAGGGTTAAAAACATCATTTTTCTTTTACAGAACTTTACTATAACAAGTCTGAAAATAATTTTTGCTGAAACTCTTTTAAGTCAAGTGCTCTTCAATTTTGGAAAATTCCGATTTGAAACCCGCGTAAGTATTATACAATTTGTAATAGGAGAAATGAAGAGAAAGTGATGAAATAAGGACATTAAAATGACATTTATAATAATAATAATAAAACATAAACAATAATATTTATTAGCGGTATTTTGAAGTATAATAATATTTGAAAAAACACTTTTTAAACAGTATATTATATATTTCCCACCAAGTTTTTTTTATTTTTAAAATTTCATTTTCTGTCCAGTTCATTTCTAGACGAGATTTTGTGTCCTTTTTTAAATATTAGAGAACAATTTCTTTTTGAACTTATAGTAAATTTCAAAATATCATATGAGAAGACCCGTAATGAATTCATATTTTATGGTAAATTTCTCTTTAATGAACGATTGTGTAAATATTTCCTTAAACCATAAAATAAAAAATAATATTTCATGTAATACATTTTGTTAAGCCGCGTCGTAACTATAAATGTCGGGTAAAAATGAGTATTTAACTGGCCTTTTATTGTAATGAGATAATATACACTTTATTACTCAAATAAATAATAATAATATAGTTTTATATTGCGGAGGGCATTGAGCCAATCGGATAAAGCATCATAAAAAAATATTTAATTTATTACCAAAACGATTTATGAAGCATACAACAAATTTCCCCAGAAAACTCCTCCCAGATAATTCATGGCTTGATCTGAGCAATGAGGTTTAAAAATAAATACTGGAAACCAAAGTGACTACTAATGCTATGAAACTAAAAGGTCAGAACAGCCATAAAATGTTGGTTGATGATCTACCATTAATTCAAATACAATATATAGGTCCATACTTACCCCCTATTATAAATATCTCATCATGTAGAACATAAAGCACGTGATGACATAGACCAATCAAATCTTTCGACACATAAGCTGTTCGGTACTTGCCCTGTAATAGAAACCAAACAATTTGAGTTATTCAACTATGAAGGGATATTTTGTTCTGTAAAATTGTGCAAGTTGGTACATGTGCAGGTTTTGTGTGTGTGGTTATAATGAAATAATTGAAGAATTATTTAGCCTGATTGAATTCAACAAAGCTCGGTTTGATTATTGTTTGACAAAAGAAATGAACTTGAATCAGAGCTTCGTGTAGGTTACATGAAATCTATTTAAGCAGAAATAGTTCAATAAAATTAATTTGTTGTATAAAGTAGTCATTAGTTAATTGAGAAGGACAGCTGCACAATAATCGTAATGTCTTTTTTCCCTTGTCTCTTCATGATTTGAAACTAATGAAATGAGTCTAATAGTTTTACACGTTTTACAGTAAAGCTACATGCGACTTGAATCGTTGTTATCGAGTGAAAAACACTGTGTTATTGACCCCGTACAAATAATTATTCCTAGTTTTATTTGAGGTCAAACATAATTTGTTTTTGTTTATTTCAGTATATCCTGATGGGATGGGAAATATTAAGCGGTGACTTTTGTAAATCTGTAAGTAAACAATATATAAAACCATTTTAAGTATTCATTTACATACAAAAGTACTTAAATTTGTATATCTTTTAAATTTGAAAATCTTTGTGTAAGTTTGTTATTCTTAAGTTTACATACAACAATTTAATAATATTTAATAAACAATAGAACTT